GGGCACTGGGAGGGGGATTGGGAGGGACTGGGAGGGGGTTTGGGGGGGATTGGGAGGGACTGGGAGTGACTGGGATGGACTGGGAGGAGGTTTGGAGACACTGGGAGGGACTGGGAGTGACTGGGATGGACTGGGAGGAGGTTTGGAGACACTGGGAGGGACTGGGAGTGACTGGGAGTGACTGGGAGGGGGTTTGGGGACACTGGGAGGAACTGGGAGTGACTGGGAAGAGGTTTGGGGGAACTGGGAGGAACTGGGAGTGACTGGGAAGAGGTTTGGGGGAACTGGGAGGGCGTTTGGGGGTACTGGGACGAACTGGAATGTACTGGGAAGGATTTGGGGGGCACTGGGATGTACTGGGAAGGATCTGGGAGGGGACTGGGGCTAACTGCGAGGGCGTATCTTACCTGTACTGGTCCATACTGGTCCATACTGGTCCATACTGGTCGCAGGTTCCACTACGCTGCCCGGATTTGGGACGGGGTGAAGAAATCCTCAGCCTTGGCCGAGTACGGCCGCTTACTGGGCTGAACTGGGAGCACTGGGAGGGCTTCGCTGGACCAATAAACCCCTCTGGAAACCCCTCAAACCCGCTCGTTTTGGTCTTAATTAACGACGAGGCTTAATTAACCACCCCCCCAAAGCATAATTTAGTTTAATTATCCCCTCAGAGATTTAATTAGCGCCCGCCCTCATCCCGCCCCGCCCCCTTCCCCTCACGGCTTCCCGCCCTGCGAAAAGGGCGGGAAAACCCCTTGGAGGACCGCGTGACCACAGAGCCTGGAGGACTGGCGGGCTAGAGCGGCTCCCCGCGCAGCGGAAAAACCCGCCCGTGCGAAACCATCGAGTTGCGGGCGGGATTGGCAGAGCGCCTCCCTGGGCCGCTCTGAGGGCGGCTTCCGGCGAGCGGCGGCGATGCCGGAGATCCCGTTAAGGCGGGTGGTGTCCGTGAGCAGCGCCGACCCGGTGGGTCCCGGGGAGGGCTCCGGGGCACCGGAGGGCGGGGGAGCTGCGGGGGGATCCGGGCTGAAGCTCTCCTGTGGCTCCGCAGCGTTACCCGGCCGAGAATCTGCTGCGGCCCGATGATGGCGGGCGCTGGCGGGGGGCGGCGGCGGGGGAGAAGCAGCTGAGCGTGGTGCTGGAGGTCGGGAGAGGATGAGGAGGGGACTGGGAGGGACTGGGAGGGACTGGGAGGGGGTTTGGGGGAACTGGGGGGGGGCTGGGGGGGACTGGGGGGGGGTTGGGGGGGGCTGGG